ACGCTATACCAACTAAGCCACGGAACGAACCAACGGACCTCACGAATTTTTCTATGTGCTTGCGTCGTGTCTTTGCATTTAGTTTTTCAACGACTTTTTAGTCGCCATCTATGAGAAATCTATGAAAGATTTATCACCCAGTTAGTACCTTTACAGCTACCAGTCCTGGCGAGAGATGTCGCTATTCACTAATTACTTACAATTACAATTGTACTATATATTCACAAAAATATATAGTACAATTGAGCATATACACTGATTACTATACGGTATGAAAACACGATTTCTAAAAATTTTCACGATAGAAAATAAACACAAACTTACCTCGAAATTTCACAAGAAAATCGCCACATTCAATAGGTACTTAGCATATACTAATGATTTATTTTTATATCTACTGAACTAAATAGAACACGTGTACAACACTATATGCATTTTTCAAAAGGCTTTACATTCGTTTGTAAAAAATAATTCTAAAATAAAGCCAGTGTCCCTGCCTCTAGATCCAAGCAAAATGAATTAAAAAATTGTACTCGAGCTGAAGTAATTTAAAATTCAAAGGTCTGATAAGAGTGAACTATATTTCGTTGGGATGTACCTTAGATGTAATAAATAAAACAAATCATTCAGTTCTACATTTTATTCAACAGATCAACAGGAGTATTTAAAACATTGTAAAATATAAATTATTAAACTATTCAAAATATTAATATAGTAAAAACATACGTAATATTTTGTTCTACATTTGCAACAGGCAGTTGATTTACATCTAAATACTAGGGATAATTAATTAAAAAACATGTTGGAAAAGAACCTAAAAATACAACAAAATGACATTTCATTAGGTACTTTAAATGGAATTTCTATCACAGCCTATAAAATTCTAGAAAAAGCTATTTCATAATTAGACCCAATTGTTACTACGATAATAATTATTTATATTGCCAGCGCAAAAAAATACTGATTGTTATCAGTTGTTACTCACTCCAGAGATGATGTAAAAGTATTCAACAACAAAACTTCAAGAATAAATTATGTGTATTTATATAAAAGCTTCTAGCTACATAATTATTGCTCTGCAAATATTATGGCCAAAAATAAGGACACTTTATCAAATCCTTCAAGCCACCATTAAATCACATTTTAGAGAATAAAATCGACTGACAACTTTGTTTTTAATAAATAGTTGTAGCATGAAAATAATAAGTTATACTAACGCCTGATTATTTTATTTGAGCAAATAATATCATCGAAACTGTTGATGGTTATTTTATGACAGGGCACTTATTTTATGGAGACTTCGCTTGAAAAGCCACTACCGCCACTACCGCCGGACGTGCATTGCCGGCAACAATAAATATCAATTACTGCCCCACCTATCCCTGTACTATCGACAAAGTCGAAGCGTTACCACTTTCAGCGTTCTTGTTGCGTGCAGGCAACGGTGTTAGTAGCAGCCACTCGCAGCTAGGGTTACCATCCGTTCGGGTTTGTCCGGACATGTCCAGCTTTTTGACCTAATACCGGATTCTGTCTGGATTTGTCATTTGTCCGGATTTTTCCGCTTAGGTAACAATTTTCAGAATAAAAAGTAATATATCCATTTCGTAATTATGTAGTAAAACTCGAATTACGACAAAAAAGCGTTGTCCGGTACGTTGTCCGTCTCAGCTACCGCTTAAGAGGGAAAGATTTTCGATTTTATTATTATAAGGTCCGTTCTTTCAAATGTCAGCCCTTTTGTCCGGACTATTCAAATTTCGAAACGGTAACCAACTCGCAACTAAATTCTTCTGGTTATATTATAAGCAAATAAAACTCAACAAAAAAAAAAGAGCGATGCTACACACGCGCTGTCAGTGCGTACAATTTACTGCAATGCGGTGGCGCCGCGCCGTTTACTTGCGCACAGCAGTACCGCTTACCGCTTTTACGAGCTCGCGTTCTGTCGCTACGCCGTTTCAACGCACCATGTGGCATGCAGTTCTAATTTATATGTAGTACAACGCAGCGTTACCATCCATAATATTAACTTTATCACTAAGTCCAAACTCATGGTACCACGATATCGTTTTACTAAGGTAAACGATTCTTTTATCTGGAATTGTATACGTTTTTACAATAAGATTCCGGTGCATATATTAAGATTATCATTTCCCAAGTTTAAAACTTACTTGAGTTTCTTGCTCGTTTAAAAAATGATGTTTACAAGTGGAAAAATTTTACCTATGGAATAAACGACGTTGACTTTATCTTTGTTACCGCTCAAGCGTAGCAACGCCGACGCAACGCATCATGTGGCATCGCTCTTAGGAGTGGGCTACATTCACCGCATGCAAACAAAATTATTTTGGACCTGGGAATGCTTCAACTTACTGATAAACTTTACACCATACATTTCCTGTCTTTTTATTTGCAGTCTACTGTTTTGCTATTTATGAGCATATAATTAAATTCTAATATCTCTATGGCCTACTCCTACATTTTCACGTCTAACCTCTAATTCTGAATTCAGTTACATTGTATAAAAACTATTTAATAATAATCAAGGAACACATCCCTTTGCATTTAATATTTAGCTTTCCGAGACTTTTGTCTAGTTTGGCCACAGCCTTACCTAACCTCTAATTATTTTAAACTCAACCCAGCATCTACAAATCTGTCACGTATCGAAGGTTTAGTACGTCTTTCAGACTTGAATTTTAATTTTTAATTAGATTATAATTAACAACGGGTAACAAGTGCGATAACAAAACTGAAAGATCAAACAAGTATATATATATAAAAATAACAGCTACCTTGTTGATATAGTTAAAAGCACGCTGGATTTTTCACTTTGTAATTTGGACCTTATTAAAGAGTACCTGCATGCAATAAAAGCGAAAAGACTGCGCGTTTACTCCCGCTCATCAACGCGTTTTTTCGCTCTTATTAGGCTACGAATTCACGGCACTGTTTGATTGCTATTTATTATTATTTCAATACTCACGACACCACAAGTTTGTACGGTCACGTAGTCGCCAAGGTTGCATTACGGACCGCAAACTTGGCGGGAGAAGATCGTGATCATCGGCGGCCGAGCCGATCGCAGAGAGCGCGGGTGACCGCATCCCGCGCATAAAACGCGTTTTGAAATGTGCTACTAAATTTCGATACCTCCAATTTTTGGACCTGTTCAGTTTTCACAAAATTTTTTGTTTTTTTGGAATTTTGTTTTTTGAGTATAATATTATTAAGTAAATATGTATGGTTACAAAAAAAACAGAAAATGACCAAAAGATAAAGGCGTGGTGTTCATTGGAAGTATTGATTTTACATACATACACTCTACAAAAGCGGCGGTCCCGCAACAGCGGCGGGAACGGGTAAAAACCGCTCCGTGAGTTCGTAGCCTTAGGGTCAAGTCACACTGAAAAAACAAAGGCGCACAGCGGCCGGTGGAGCTAGCACGATGCCTCTTTTAACTAGTCGCTACAGGTCTCGCGTCTGCTCGCGGTGCCGCACTATTCTATCACTTGAAAAACTTTTTATCTTAGAAAAATTCAAAACGCTAAGTAATACTTTGGGCCAAAAATGCTCCTCCGGCCGCTGCTCCTTCAGTGTGGCTTGACCCTTGCTTTGACTAAGGGAACGTTCCCATTATGTCGTGTCGACAGACAGTCGTGCAGTTTAAAGTGTCGTGTCTTGTATATTTCAATGAAGTGGTTCACATATAATAACAACACGAATAACTATAGTTCACGACTTTTTTGACGTTACGACGACATACTGTCGAGACAATGGGAAGAGCTAAGAAAAATGACAGTCGTCCAACGATAAATAAAACATCACGACAAAAACGTGACGACAGATATAGCAGTCACTATTGTCGTCACGTTTTATTTATCGTTGTCTGCAGGTGTTCTGCTGCTGTACATCAAACGATTCTGTCGTGTGAACAACAAGGTGGCTGCCGTGAGCCGATAAATTATCGTCACGATCCAATAGGAGTCGCTAGACACGACAGTCGTTCAATGATAAAAAACGTCCACGACAGTCATGATATGAACAGGCTAAAAACGACAGTCGTCCAACGATAAATAAAACTTTACGACATAATGGGTACGCGCCCTTACCGTACGTATACACTATTTTCAATTATTAGTTATTATTACTATAGATTTCGTATAAACCAGAATTCCCAGCATTAGCTCTAAAACAAACCACTATTTTTGTACGTAATGAAAACATACATACGAAACAAACGAAGTCAGATAACCCTTACCTGTAATCTGCAGCTCATCGGACTTCGAGTTCCTCAAAAGACTTTCCTATAAGATATGTCCATGAATGCTGTGACAGCTGTATCGATTGGTTTCACGATGAACGGAATTGAAGAAAGCCCTATGGCCACTGTCATCCACTTGCGAGTTGAACGGGGTATTTTGCCAAAGTATTTAGCGAGCCCCTTACCCGAGTAGTGGGATATTCTGAAAGAGTGTTATATCATTATTGTTATAATACCATTTTTATAGTATATTTATACACAATATTAGTGAGTAAGTGGCAAGGCGTTGGAACTTGTTATATCTCAACGGCAGAATTCAGAAAAGCAGAACAAAAATGAAAGAAAAGAAAGCAGACATAAATGTTGTGCCTACTTTGAGTTCACCGGTTAAAACGTGTCTTCCGCAGGGCTCAATATTTGGACCTTTCTTATTTCTCATTTATATTAATGATCTACCTTTCTTTGTTGAAGACCTTTTCGGAATAGTATTGTTTGCTGACGTTAACTAAGACCAAATTAGTGATACCCTTTCAAAGGTAGTTTATTGGTTTGATGCTAACAATGTATTGCTTTTGCTAAGAAGACAAAGTGTACTAAATTTGAATTACCTAATGTGAAATCAACTGGAAATGAATGGAGAGAAGTTAGACCTTGTTAATAAAGCTGACTTTTGGGAATGACCTTAGATAGTAAAAGTATATGTGTGCGTGTTAACTTCTATGGTTTCCACATATATCTATTTATTTAGATACACCATCGGCACATATATAAACTTATACTGTTTTAATATATAATTTTTTATACAGTATGTTGTACAGTCAAGAGCACGTCAAGCTTGAAACTTTGTACTTTCGACAGTTCTTATCGTAAGCGGCGTAGAGCTGGATTTAAATCTTAAGTGTCAAGCTTGACGTGCTCTTTACCGTTACAGGTCTATATGTACATACAAAATTTACGAAAAAAACCTTAGTTTAAAAAGAAAATAGAAACAAAACGAATGTATAGAAAGAAAAGAAAACAAACTATCTAAGAAATTACATCTTTGACCAACAGATTAAGCTCCGCTGCATATGTGAGCTTACCGATATTGGTACTGCTAGACTAGTTTAGTTTACTTCCATAGTATAATGTCCTACGGAATTCTCATGTGGGGTAAAGCTGCAGATATACAAACCATAATTGTGATGCAAAAATGAGCGATTCATTCTGTGTACCGTTTAGGTTTTCTCTCAGTGAAAAGTTTAAGGAGACTGATATCATGACTATAGCATCACATTGCATTTACTCAAATAAATATTTTGTATGCCCGTAAAAGCATACATAATTTAATTAACAATGAAGATATCCATAATAAGAAATGAAACTATTTTTCCGGATTTAAATCACGTATATTTGTTTTTTCAAACAAACCGACGTTTCGGGCCCTTTACAGGTCCCATGGTCACGGTTGACTGAGGTGGTACAGTCTTCAACCAGTTATGTTTAATATTAATGCAAACCACGCTATTTTTTCACTATACTTACAATGGTTATTAATTAAATACCTTATTTTTAATTTTAGAAAGAAAACATTACAATTTACGCTACATTAGGTTTTACAAATTATTTTATGGAATGAATTTTTATTAAGTTTAATTTATTAATAATTATTAATAGAAATAAGAATAAACTAAAACATATTAATTAGTACTGCAGTCTTATATCTGATTAGAGGAAATTCTGTATCCCAAACTGATATCCATAATATTAGAAGTAAGGTGCCATTATCATGGTGCCACAATTTCGTTTAACTAAGTTAAACGATTGTTTTATGGGGAATTGTATAAGTATACCTAAATTAATTTGCAACACACGATATTGACACGCATATTTGTTAAAGTTTAGAAAATAATTTTAACTCATGATCAATATAATATAATTACATGATTTAATTCCGCCTTCCCGTTTCCATCACAGAGGGAGTAGGCGTAGGCTTGGGTTACACCCCTATGTTGTGTATATTCCAAAGATCCGCACGAAGCGTTACGCTTCCACATTTATATGGCGGAGTGGGATTCCCTGCCTGCAGACTTGTTCCCTGAACGTGATAGCGCATTATTTAGGTGTGCATGCTGCATCGTCACTTTCCATCAGGTGAGATGCAGGTCAAATGCTTGAATATAAAAAATATTTGAATAATATTACAGTGAAAAAAAATGACTATTTTTATTTCGTATTAAAGGGGAATTCATTGATATCCACTGCAATTTACATAAACTACTTCGAGGCTATTGAGTATTGATCAGCGCTTTCTTGATATAAGACGGAATTTCGACCTTTTCCTTTTGCAGAGAACAAAAAGTAACGAGAATGGACGCTCTGCGCCCCTCCCTAGATTTAGATACCGCACCACGCCCCGCACATTGACGGTCACATTGACTGAACGACAACAAGGCTGTCGGCGAGCCGTTCTCGCGCTAAGACGGCTTTGACATTTGAAATTTTTTCATTTATTCATTACGAAACCTGTACGTTAATATACAGGGGTCGGCACGAGTTGTTTTCCAACTTTAAAATGAAATAAAACATTTGCATGTGGCTCAAATTGAGATAACATGCGTTCATTTGACGGTCAACGAGTTTGGCTTTTTAAAAAATTGATGCACATAGACTAGTCATCAGTTGTTGATGCCGAATTCGAAATTCGAAATTCAAAGACAACAAAAATGGCGAACAAACATTTTTCAACTGATTTGGTTTTACGGTTTTGTTTAATAACCCCGCACACAGACCGAAAAAGTATGGCTGTTCTCAAGGAAGCATTCCCAGGGCGCCTGATTTCCAGGTTCGGGGACATCCACTGGCCCGCAAGGTCACCCGACCTGTCTGTCCCCGACTTTTTCTTGTGGGGATATCTGAAGGAAAGGATCTTTCGTCACCAACTTAACTCTCTGGCCGAATTAAAACAGAAGATTCGTGATGAAATTCAAAACATTTCAAATGAAATGTTAGAAAAAGTGAAAGAAAATTTCATCAAAAGGCTCCAACTTTGCAGAGATGAAAATGGGGGACATCTTGCAGATATTGTTTTCAAAAAATAATTTTAAAAAAGCCAAACTTGTGATCTCAATATTGTTAAGAAAGATTAAAATTTTATCAATAAATAAACTTGTTATGTCATTTTAAACTTGGAAAACAACTCGTGCCGAACCTTTTATAACATCATTGTAAATTACTATTTATAATGGTCGTGAATTGTGCTGTGAACGGCTTTTTATCGTCATCTAAACGGGAGAAAGAGAGTTTCTTTCGTTTTCCGAAAGATGAAACGAAGATGACAAAAACTTTCCGTCTGAGAATCATTCAGCTATTGTTTTCGTCATTTATTTAGCGCAGAGTACCAGAACTTGCTTACTAGACGCCATAACTTCGTGAGCTAGTAGACAAAGGTTCTCGAATTTCCAATTTGTATTGCCGATAAATAGTACGTAGTGAATATACCTAATTATTAACTAGGTAATGATAAACTTGGGCACGCAGTTTCAAATGTACAAATACATGACAGGCAAATGACTCCACTCCACCTGATGTTAAGTGGAAAGTGGTCTCCAAACGCGAAGGAACCTAGTGCAGCGATGGAACCCTCACTGCACTAGCCACCTCCACCCTGCCTGCTTACAATATGCCTCTTCACGCCTCGTTTGAAGGACCCCATATTATAAGAGGGAGGGAAGACATGTGCCGGAAGGGAGTTCCATTTGTCAACCGTGCGGCAGAGAAAGGAGCCACCGAACCTTTTAGTATGCGATGGAATGCGGCAGGTAGTGAAACGGTGACTACGAAGGCCAGCACGCGTGCTTCTGAGCAGGAACGGGGAAGGGGGGATGAGGTTGAACAGCTCTTCAGAGCACTCACCATGGTACATGCGATAAAAGGCGATAAGCGATGCAACATCTCTACGCAGTTGCAGAGGTTCAAGGCGTGATGAGGCTTTTAATATGTTTTTTAAATAAATCTTCAATATTATTCTAGATAGTGAATTAATGAACAATATATTTTTATATCGATGTAAATACCTAAAGAACATGTATAATTATTAGGATTGTATTAATAGAATTATAGATAACAGATTCGCTTAAGATTTTCACTGTGTTGTCGCTCTGACCACAAAGTGATGGGTAACTCTGCCACTTCACGCACATATTTGAGCATGTGCAGATAGCGCCTTGCTGTATGTAGTAGTAGTAGTGACTGTAGTATGTAGATTGTTAGTCGTCTTGAGTTATTGAGTCCATGATATAACTCAACTTTGATAAAAATGTTAGAATTGCCGTTTTTCATACAGATAACAAACTAAGGGTCGTATTCTAGAACTCCACTCAATGCTCAAGTCAGGATTTGAGTATGGTTTAGAGCACTCGAAATCATACTCAAGTCCCTGCCATTAGAGTCGTATTTCCAGTGCTTGAAATCATACACAGATCCTGACTTGAGCATTGAGTAGAGTTCTGGAATACGACCCTTAGTGAACAACTTTAAAAAGTAAAAATAATTCCATGTGATTGTGATACCTGTTGATTACCACTCCTGGTATAATGACGGACGCCAAGGTCTGCCAGATGAGAGCATCACCAGCGTCAACTATCATTTTTGAAAGCCGACCGTCTCTCTGAAAAGAGAAAATACATTTATGTTAAAGTGTTTTTGTGGCTAACAGAGCAAGGGACTTGAGCATTCAAAAGCCTTGATAGCTGTCTACAGTGCGAATCACTACAGAGAAGCTCTGTCATTGGACAGGAACTGCTCAATAGAGTCTTAACAGGACATTGTGGCTTGAACAAGCAGATGTCAAATATTGGTCAGAGAGAGAATAGAGAGTGTAGATTCTGCCACGAGGCGGATGAAACTTCTGTTCATCTTCTCACCCAGTACTACCCCCTGATGGGCGTACGAAGCTCCATACTGGGAAGGCACATGCCACAACCAGAGGACATAAAATCTGTCGGTGCCAGGAAAATCTTTCACTTCTTCAATGCTGTCGCCCTTGACACTGAACTGTAATTAATGGTGACCACAATAGATCAGTTCATGGTTGCATGTTTTATGCCCCGAATGAAACCACTCTAATAATGATGATAATAAAGTGTATTTTTACATTACTGCTGCTTATTCATTTCTGCCGCCAAGCGATAATGTGAGCATTATGGGGTTCCGGTTTTATTTATCGTTGGACGACTGTCGCGTTTAGCCTGTTCCCATATCACGACTTACTGTCGTGACTGTGTCGTGGACGTTTATTTTATCGTAGAACGACTGTCGTGCCTAGCTGTTCCCACTAATCATGATGACAATGTATCGGTTCACGGCAGCCACATAGTCGTTTGCATGACAGAATCGTTTGAAGCTACGATTATCTGTCGTCACATTTTTATCGTGATGTTCTTTTATCGATGAACGACTGTCGTTCTAGCTCTACCCATTGTCACGACAGTCTGTCGTCGTAACGTCAAAAAAGTCGTAGTAGAGCTCCTTGTGAAAGAGTTTGTCTAGAGAAGTACTGCCACCTTGCCTATTTCTACCGCCAAGCATTAATGTGAGCATTAACTGCGTTTTGGTTTTGAAGGGTAAGAGTGCTGGTAAAACAGGCACATGGGACTTGTCAACTTATGTCTCAGGGTGACAGGCGCAGTGGCTGTTCCTCAGATTCTCTGATAATTCTTTGAGTGGCACTGGAACTGTAATGGACAGGCGTGTGGCTTACCAACAGGCACACAGCTGCACTTATATTCATATCCGCACATATATGCACTTACATATCAAATAGGTTATTTTAGATGCAGTCATCGAGTACATAACCAGAAATAGAGACGAAATAAGGGCCATCCATCCCTGGCAACTCATCAGGCAAATGGGCCTTGTATCACTTTTAAATTTCAACTCTCGTTTGCACTGAAATTACAAATTAGAAAGCTAAAATGGTACAGCGCCAACAACTGACCAGCGTGTACGTCTCCGCTTATTCCAATAATATTCCGTATTTATTTTAATAAAGACAATATCTCTAGCAATGATATCAATCTGTTCCATTCGGTGGTGTGGGAAAAACAGCAAAACATCTAATTACAAAACGAACGAAATCACTTTTCATCGGTAATTAAATATTAAATATGTTACTTTTTCAATTTTCGCCCATTATAGCAAAGCTCAAGTTAAACTGGTATACTTCGCCACCCGTGAGTTGTTTCGAATTCAGGCTGGCCAAAGCACTGTTGTCACCGTAACGATTTGGCAGAATAGTTTTCAAACAAATTAAATGACATTTCGTATCTAATTCTGGTTATATACTCGATAGATGCACTATTCACACTTCATTATATTTATTATTTGTTGCATTGTTGTTGGTTCTGACTGAAAACCAACGCCTTAAGGAACTTACGCATATTAATCTAAGTAAGCGCTCTTTCACTGCTATAAAATGTTTTATGTTTCCTTTTGTATTTAATCTGTATTTGTGTCATATTAAATGAAGTGTTTGTATATCTACCTATATAACATACTGATTATTTGTTTGCTATCATGCATTCCCTTTGCTATATGTGATGTGAACAAACCCTCAATGAAGCTTGGCTCTTGTGCGCAGTGTCAGCGATAACGTAGAGCATCGCCACGCCGTAGCTGGCGCGCACCACGCTGCGCGGCACGACCGGCCGGAACGACTCGCCCACCTCATTCGCATACCCTGGAACATGGATTTGTTCAGTGATGGGTACATAACTAGAGACGAGAGGTAAGAACATTTGAGCAATATTAAAATAGTATTTTACATAATAATCAATAGTCGGAAATAGGAGTTCCACATTTATAGGTACAGCAAGACTTGTTGCCGTTCCGTCAATGTGATCATCAATTTGCGGGGCGCGGTGCGGTATCTAAAGCTAGGGAGGGGCGGAGAGCGACCATTCTCGTTACTTTTTTATTCTCTGCTTTGGTAAAAGGTCAGTTGTCTACTGCATTTTTTTACATGGCACCATTAAAATTACTTTAAAATCCAACGTCGACTACCTGGATCAGAAGCTTTGTCCTAAGATGCAGTAAAACCATTTCCGGAAATCGGGAATTCGAAAAGAGTAATTAATTAATATTTGGTGGTTTTAACAACACTATGTCGCTTCTTGTAGCTATATCTATACATGTATTATTATATCATGTGGAACACCTCGATACCTCCAATGAACACTAGGCCCACTTTATTTTTTGGTCATTTTCTGTTCAACAGCCATATTTACTTACTAATATTATGCTCTCCAAATTTAGTGAGAAAGAAACACAAAACAAAATTTGAAGAAAAACAAATTTTGTGATAAAAAATAAAAAACAAAAAACAAAATAAAACCAGAACGGTTCGAAAAATTAAGTTGGCACAGTGTTCATAGGAGGCAACGACCTTTTTCCGACCACTGATTATTATTCACGACTAGTATTATCATATAAACTTTTAGAGGCTTTATATTAAATTATAATGTGTGGCTACATGAAGCCTGCAAAAGTAAACAATTCATTATATTGTGTTTTAAATATAATTATTTATTTTATATATGAAACGGCCCTTCGTTCACTCAGAACGACGAGGTCCATGATCACCTAAATGTGTCATCAGCAGCTGCTGAGATCAACCAACACAAAACTAAGCACGAAGTGTCAGACCACTCATCGGGACTTTTAGATCCGTCAACCATGGTCATGCAGTTTACGCGAGGCCAAAGCTATAATTGGGAGGCGAGGTACAGGCCACTCCACCAAAACCGTCGTACCTCATTTGCAAGATTAGCTTATGGCTTGGTGGTTGATTGCAAATAAAATAATAATAATAATAATGATAATAATCTCAGTACAGAGTACTAAAAAAACCGACATCAAAAGTACGTGGAATTACATCTATTTGCCAAGTTTTATTGAAATATTCCCTTGTTCGCCACTATACAGGACTTGACACAGGAGATAACAAAAATCGGTTGTCACTACTCAAAGTATATTGAGAGAGAAAAACGCCTTGAATTGGAGAATAGCAAAACCAGCCTTTAAAATAATTGCTCCTTACGTAAAATTTAGGCGCTATTTATAAAAATGAATGTTCATGCGTGATCAGCCACCCTTGGAGGTGGATGATTTTCTTCAAAATGAAATGGGACCACTATGGAAGTAGCCTTTTTTTTCAACAAAAAAAAATCATGAAAATCGGTTCACAAATACCGGAGTTATCGCGTAACATACATACATACAAAAAAAACCTACAGTCGAATTGAGAACCTCCTCCTTTTTTTGAAGTCGATTAAAAACAAAAATGGAGGGAAAGAATAAATTAATATGAGAACCAAACATGTTTAGGGAGACATCCTCCATCATGAGCTCATTCAGTCAGAGATTAAATAATAACATTCATGGACTGATGCAAATCACAGAAATCTAAAAAACTAGGCTAGTTAGCGGACCACTTAAGGGATTCTACTCTTTGTCTCTGTTCGACATCCATCTGACAATTACTGTTGAATAAGTAGTACTCAACCAAATAAAAAAAATTAAGTATAAAGCTTCATTCGCATCGTATGTCTTCTTAATTTGGTTGCTTATATATTTATTTGACAGTAATTGTTTCGGGCAGATGTCAGAGAACAAGAGTACAAGGTCAGAGACACACAGACAGCGACTTGAACTAATCTGAGCACATCTCAACAATAACAATGCTGCCCTCTCTGCAAGCTCACCCATTTGAGCTGTCAAACTGACTGTCCATAGTGATGATGCAACATGGCCAAGACAGGTTATCAAATCTGATTTATGAATAACTAAATAACTTCCGTAATCATAACAAAATTACATTTAATAATATTAACCCACGTTTGTCTTTCCATAATGCATGTAAACAATAGATTTAATTATGTTACATTACGCTTAAAGTGACAATAATTCTTATTATTATTATATCTATTTTAGACTCTCGCCTCTCCCAAGCCCTAATTAATTTTGAATTTTTAAAAGGGACAGGCGGTATTTCCCAGCAATGGTACAGTCAGCCAGAGTCAGGGACTCAAGTTTTAAAACCGGTGAACAATATGTGCCATATTGAGCAGGAATGCGTTCTGCATTTGTGCTGGAAGCAACATGCCACAGAAATCCGACGGCATCCAGCTGTTAGAAAGGCTGACTGGAATTAACCTATTTGCGGACAAAACAATTGGGATTATTTCAGTGGAGGCCACGTCCCATGTCGGTGAACTCGAGTGCCAAGTCAAGATATCTCCGGCGTTTCTCGGTTTCGGCTTTCATGAGACCCTCGTCATGCGATATGGTAATGTCCACAAGAAATACCCTTGACTGCGATCAATCCAATATCACAATATCAGGCTTATTCGCAAGAATAGGCCTGTCCGTGATAATTATTATTATTATACACAAAAAACCAGAATAGTTAATTCAACATTAACTGAATTTGAAAAAGGTTTGTTTGAAAGGTGATATATATCCAGAAAGTTTCCTTTACTTTTCAGTTTATTTCCAATAAGCTTATAAAGTCACTATTACTATTATTATTTGGATACCTATTCTGCCCTTGTAACGAAATGAGGCACAACTGTGCGTACTTTACACAACAGTTACACAACATTCCAAGGGCAGTATTTTAGACTCTATTATTATTATTATTATTAGGGTGGCTTCATTCAGGGCCTATGCATCCCCTCATCACTGCGACCATTGACTGATCTATTGTGATCACCACTAATTACAGTGTAGAGCCAAGGCCAACAGCATTGAAGAACTTAAAGACTTTCCTGGGTCCAACAGATTTTATGTCCTATGGTTGTGGCATGTGCCTACCCAGTATGGAACTTTGTATGCCCATCAGGGGCATAAAGTTATATATGCTCTTTGCATTAAAATTATCTTTCCACCGTCATACAAGCAATCAAACTATCAACTTTTATGTCACAATCTAAATTGCACGGATTATCAAAAGATAAACAGATTTATATGATACAGGCAGAAAGGCGACAAAGCAATGACACATTTATTAATTTAAGAAACTCACCAAGATAGCGCACCCATGTGTCTCGGAAGAAATCAGTTTGACAGTAGGGCCCTTTGCAGGGATTACCCATGGCTGATAAAAGTTACAATATGTCCGTTTTAAAGCTCAACGCTGTAGTATCTGGCTGCGCTCATCATGTGCCGCCGCGATAACGGAGTGCTGCTGTGTTTGCGTTGTTAAATTTCTACAGTTATTATGTAAACATAAAAATTTATGCAGCCAACTAGATACGCCTTACGCGAGACTTCCATTAACTAACTGCGTGCGTCGATCTCGGAACATCTGACGAAAACTGAATGAAACCTACTTACAGAACACATGGTTTGAACAAATGAGAACATTTAACCATTACATTCATTTACAACATTTAAAAATTTTCTATTTTGAATAAGTTTGACATTTTAACATTGACAATGACGTTGACCTTTGAGTTGCTATATTATGTAATTGGCATAAATGCAAACTAAAAAAAAGCACGTTTTTATTTACTTTAGTTAATTAAACAAATCTATTTCACAAAACCTTGATTCAGATGACGATGAAATCGCGTATAATTGTTTTTTCAAACAAACCAGGTATCTGCGACAGTAATCTGGCAGGGGAACTTCAGCATATAAAACAAGTCCTACATGCGAATAAGTTGAATATGCCAAGCCAATCCCGCAGGCCCCGTGTGAAACCACTAACAGTCGACCGAAGACCTGCCATTTTACCTTACTTAAGAGGTATTATTTAGTACTTTTGTAACTATAGTGAAAAAATAGAGTGGTTTGCATTAATATTAGACATAACTGGTTGATGACTTTACCACCTCAGTCAACAGTGCTGTAAAGGACCCGAAACGTTGGTTTGTTTCAAAAAACAAATATAAATGCGATTTAAATCCGGAAAAATAGTTTCATTTCCTATGATAAGAACTCGATACGCATCCTTTTGATTTTGCATTTCTGCCCTTGAAAATATGTTAATAATGTAGAAAGCGGGTAACACTCCTATCAGCTGTTTTCAGTTTCGCAGCTGTCATTCATTTGTGTGTCAATGTCATTGTGCTGTCATCTGATGATGGTGACCGGTCGTCGCGCGCGAGTAGATGTAATTTTTTATTTGTAAATAAATCCTCTTTAATAATAATTGTCTTGCTTTGAACATTTGTATACGTGCAAAATAATATGTGACTGGACTATGAGAAAGTGCATGAAGATTTCTGTGTGCGAAAAATGTGAATAAAACAAATTGGTACTTAGTTTTGTGTAAATAGGAAAATTTGTTAATTTTAGAACTTAAAATTGAAAAGGTATCGTAAGGAATTTAGTTTCTTTTATTAATGGCATTCTGTACACCATGCAGGCAAAAAACAATTATTTATTTGCAAACAGTAGTGATGTGCTTTGTCAGTATTGTCGAGATATCGATATGTTCCAATGAGGCAAACGTACACAGACGACAACTTTTATTTAAACCATCAATGTCGTCTGCGTATAATTTTACCTCTCGCAATCACATATATTAAAAATAGACTGCCGCTACTGGGAAAACAAGGAAACATTGTCGGCCAAATATCATAAAAACAATCGATATTGTAAAATTAATTACCAGATTTCTGTAAATTAAATTAATTAGAATGATATCGGGAGCTCGTGACTGTAGTTATTCTTACTTAGCATATTTATTTTGGACGCGAAGGTCATCCGCAATAATTCTTTCGTGCGTACTATTATGAAAAATGTGTTCACTCTTGCTTTACATACGTTTAAATTAAAATATAGTTCCGGTATGAGAAGTACTGGTCACTCTTCCGGAGTTAACATGGTTACTCAGGTATTCATAATACAAGCAACTCCTTTTGTTTTGTGCGTATTTGATGACAATATTTGGCACATCTAGAATACACATCACGATCGCCGAAACTTCTGTATGGTGAAATTATATGGACAGCATTAAGTTAGTAGCAGTAAAGCAAGCTCCTTACGAAAGTGTTCGTCCAGCCAACCTTACCTATTTTTGCCGCCAAGCAGTAATGTGAGCGTTACTGTTACTTCCCGTCTTGTTCGTGTCGTCACCAGACACATGACTTATTCGTCCCGTCACTTGGTTTTATTAAAAAAAAAATTAAATGAAACTATTTTTCCCGGTGCAATTTATTTTATGACACTTAATGATGGGATGAACAAGTTATGAGTCTGTTGTCGGCGACACGCCTGTCCATAACAGTTGCAGTGGCACTCAGAGCTTTAAATTACAAAAATCTGAGACATAAATTGAAAAGTCCCATATACCTGTAATTTCACCTGCACGCTTCAGAAACAGAACGCAGTAATGCTCACACTGCTTGGCGGCAGAAATAGGTAGTGGCAGTACTTCTCTGGACGAACTCTTCACAAGGAGCTCTACTGCTACAGATTGTACTATATTGTCAATGTCCAATGTGAATTAGGTATGCTTGTAAAGCATGAACAATCAAATTCATTGTTTCCTTGGGATTGAGTAGTCTTTGTTTTTTGTACGTTAAGAAAACCTTCTTTTCATAGTCAATTGCTGTACAATGTCGTTTCGGTGGCTAATTAAATGTTTTGTTTACCAATTAATAAAAAATAAAAAAGGGAAAATTACAAAACTCTTCCTGATTTATATTAGTTATATAATTCCATAATAATTGTCGTAACTACGGCAGCTCCAGCGCAAACCTAGTAAAATACAATTTAAAAAATGTACTAGAATACTACTCCAATAATAAGTACTCACCAAATTGCGTTGACAGCCGCTTCAAAGTTCTGCAATTTACCAAAGATTTGGAAGCTTTAAAACCTAGTAAACCTAGACACATAATCTGTTTCGTGACCGGTCAAAAGTCTTGTAAGTCACTTTAATCAATTCAAAACGTAGCAAGCATTTGAGACTTACTAGATTTTGAAGTAGTAACAGCGTCGTACTATCCACTAATTAATGGATAATAATCTTTAATGATACTGACAATTTTAAACGTTTTGTTAATGTCAAATAAAATCAAATTTTGTTCCAAATTTTGCAATTTCTAATGCAATAACAAAACTAAACACCAAGCAAATGCTCATACTGTTTTGATTCTGGCTGCTCTATTAACTTAATTATGTACATAATTAGTCAGGTTAGTAGGGGTCTAAAATATGTAACATATAAGTCGTAATCATTTTTGTGAGACCAACTTATTCATTGATTGGTACCCGATTTTGATTTGTGTTTTTGGCCTCTCTCGTCGGTGATTGGTAGAAAGTGTGCAAACGCAATTTCGAAAAGTTTTTTAGGGGAACACGTTTTAGTTTTTGCCGACTGTCTTAAAATATTTACGTCCTGTTTTAAATTCAATTTTAAAACTGAAACTTAATTAAAACCAAAATTTATTTTTAAAACAGGACGCAAATATTTAAAATCAGTCGTTAAAACACAAAGCATGCTTTCCTGATAACATTTTTCGAAATGGCGCTTTCGCCGACAAACACCGACGTCCTGTAAAATTGTGTCTAAAGCACTTAGCCATTTATTGATAACAAAAAAGTTAAAAGTAAAAAAAATTAACAAACCCGAAAAATTATCAAATCAAATAAATAATTACAAAGAGCAACCCCTAGAGTTTCTTGCTCATTCGTCTTAGGGGAATCTGCCTTACGAATGAGCGGTAGAGTTTAACCAATGTGACGATTTCAAGTATAATAATGCTTACCTATGAAATAAAGATTATTTTGATTTTTGATTTGATTTTAATAATAATAAGCTGCATAAAAACAATAATAAAAAAATTAAAATACAAATAAAAATATTATCGTCAAATTACTAACAATAAATTAATAGCATCACACAATATAGTGATTGTTCAACAAGCCACGTTTTCAAGAGAAATGTAAATATATTCATTGATTTTAGCACGTTATCTGGCAACCTACTTACTAGGTTTTGTTGTGAAGCAACCGACTATTTGTAGCATTTGTAAGTAAGAAAATAATTATTGTAGTTCTTACTCGTCGTATTTAGCTTGTGGAAAAAATGTGAATTGCTATAGGTATTTATGTAAGTCTTTAGCACTGACTTAAAGTCACGTGAAAAATGCGTCACCGTCACAAGCACTGTGTATTATTGCTCACACTACTAAAGCTACAATTATATTCACTCGAGGATTGCGTATTTCCCCTAAGGTATAATAAGTATACAATTTCCTTAACGCTAAAACCTGTATTTCAATCCGTTCATCTTCAAATTGAATAAAAAGCCACTAAGTTAAAAACAGTTACTAAGAATTTATTTCGCGAAACGACACTATGTAACACGTTTGTGCAATAAATTAGCTATATACCATTTTAAGACTGGTCAAGTCACACTAAATACATAACATACGTTTTACACTGAAATACATGACTGAAGACTCGTAATTTATATTATCAATGGCAATTTTACACAAATAAGTAAGTTAATAAATTCGTATAAGCTTGTGGAAAATTTATATTTTTTTTTATAATACCAAATAACGGGACGAACGAGTCGTGCGCCTGGTGGTAAGCGACCCACCAGTAATGCTGACATTACTTCCTTGCAGCAGAAATAGGTAAGGTGGCAGTACTTCCCTGGAAGAACTCTTTTGCAAGGAGCTCTACTGCTGCTACATTTTATACGTAAGAAGATGAGTGCTTTGTTCACGATAAAATTTCATTGCTCTTCTTGTTGCTGTATGATAAAGATTACGGCACCTGAAAAAAAACAAGCAACAATTAAAGTTTTATACTGAAATGTTAAACGCCTACTCAAAATTAGGCAGTGCCACTGCGCTCGTCAGCCTGAGACATAAATTGATAAAGACCCTTTAAAACAGTGAACACTTGGCAGCAGAAATAGGTAAGGGAAGTCTGCGAAGTATACTTTCACGGCTCTTTCACGGCTACTATAATATTAACAACGAAAACTTTATTGAAAATCAAATAATCATACCATAGGTAAAATTTTTACACTTGAAAACGTCATTTTTTAAGCTACTGCTCGTTCACTACGCTGACCTCCCCGAGAAGAACGAGCAAGAAACTCTACGGATTGCTCTTTTCAAATAAACTTAAATGCTATAGAATAAGTTTGAATCATATTTGTGTGGAATCTAGACTTGTTGTCTTTCCATACTCTTCAATTTTGTAATAGGGATTTTCAATTAAAATACTT